GGGCGCCGCACACGAATTGACATAACAGTAACGTAAGACGTACCGTAAGAATTGACCAATCACTTTGAGTATCGTCGAACTGTAAGGTCGCCATTTTTGTAAATACTCGATTGTAATTGGTCCATTTTTACGGTACGTCTTACGTTACTGTTATGTCAATTCGTGTGCGGCGCCCCTAAAGCCATTTTACATTAGTCACAATCGCAAGATCGCAAGAAAATTGACCAATCATAATTGATTATTCTTCGATCGCAAGAAGTACAATCGACTATGATTAGTCAATTTCTTTGCGACCTTGCGATTTGCGACTAATGTAGAATGGGCTTTATGTCGTTATGCAAAAATGTGTGCTTCCCACTTAAATATTTATATTTTGTCTTTATATATGTATAATTTATGTACTGTCTCTTTTACTATTCGTTTTATAAACCGATTTTAACATTTTTTTTATAAAAGTAACGGAAAGTAACGATTTTTTTATCGTTACAAATAACGGTAACGCGTTACTTTTTAGAATCAGTAACGAATAACGGTAACAAGTTACTTTTTACCGCAAGTAAAGGTAACGGTAACGCGTTATTTTTAAAAAGTAACGTTCCCTGCAAATAACTACATAAACTTTAGAGATATTAAATAAAATAGATAGGCGAATAAACGTGCGTATTTGCTATGTATGTTATAAAATACTGTGAACACTGTAAATACAGATTATATAAGCATAAATTGTAAGAACATTGTTAGAGTCACTGGAATCACCGCGTGCCGCTCGATCGTCAGGTTAAGCAACATTTTAACGCAGTCAGGACATGGATGGTGCCGGCATATCGCTTTGGATTCGAAATTATCAAGGGAGGATTCACGAAAGGATTTTTGAATGTGTTTGACAATCTTCGGTTCCTAGTAGTTTATGAAACTTGAGAAAATCAAGAATTAGTTTTTTTTATGAAAGCTACGTGGAAAACTTTTAAGCGGACATTTTTTCATTATATCAAGGTTTGTGTTGATTCAATGTTTCTTAATGTTACTGCAATATTGACATTGTTGCAATTCAACATTTTTTCAATATTAATTCAATATTACTGTGCTGTATGGGTTATATTGACTAAAGTACGCGCGCTCAGTTACTTCACATACAAGCTTAGCAGAACTAACGCAAGCGATACGCACCCAAATCACTTGTTGATTTTGCTCTTATTTTACGGGTTTATGAAGAGAATATTGCACGCAAATTTTGCTAGCCATTTGATGCTTCTATGACGACGCACATGGACATGTTTTTGCTTGTTCAGTATAAGCCATTTTTGCACGTGCTTTGCTTGACATTTACGTGTAGAATGTTTTCTGGGTGTTTGTACAGTAACTGTCAAAAACTATAACTTTCCGAAAGTTTTTTTTCCTGAGGGAGATATTGTCGGATGTGTTTATGCTGTTAATAGAGGATTTATAGGATATCTAAAGAAAATGATAGAAACAGCCTATCGACACATTCGACAAATACTCATCGTACAACACCTGAAATAATACCCTCAGTTGCTTCACGTTTGCTGCGTTTTTGTCAATTCAATTGTATACAATTTAAAGCTGACAATAAGTACAAAAATATTCCCAAAGTATTATCAGCAAACAAAATGCAAGATAATGACAATTATATTCTAATTAATAACATTTATTACTGCGTATGTTAGTCTGGAAAAATATTTGGCGCACGAATTGACCCTTTTAAATATTACAATTTTTTATAAATTAAATATTTACACCAGTATCTGCATTCAGTTCTTACTTCTTTTACCTCTTTTCGATTAAAAATGTCTAATAAAACAAACATTTTTTAAAGTTTTTTAAATAACGGAAGAAAGAATAGAAATAAGGCTAATGGACAACCTTAATTTATTTTTATACTCTTCTTAACAATATGATAGCAAAATGATTGCAATAAAAGTGTTTGTTGAAGCAATTGTTGCTGGTATCTTGTATATATTGATATACAAGTTCGTATATATTGATATGACCGCGCATTGCCGGAAATTTGCTATTTTATCAATTAGAAAATATTTGTCATTATCTAGTTATATGTTTGCTAACAATATTTCACGAATATTTATATGCTTTTTGTCAACCTTAAATTGTAGACAATTGAATGTTGATACAAATGCAGCAAACAAAAAATAATTAAATTCTCAATTATATGATCTCAATTATATCATCTTTGTCATAACACGCTGTGTTATCTAGGAGATTACTAATATTATAAATTTAATGAGTTCATTATACATAAAAAAACAAATCCTATGTTTATATGTATGTAATAAAACAAAACATACTTATTTATTCATTGAAACCTCTTTAATTCCCTGAAAAATAAGATATTAAGTAAGGGTAGATCAATATTACAATCGATTTAAATGGTTATTCAGATAGCACAGAGATGAATAGAAGTTTATTGAGAATTTATTTTAAAGAATACCTAAAGAATTAGAAAAATGAATATCTAAAGAATTCTTGAAGAATTAGCCGAGTCTAATTTATTTTAAATTGTTTCTTTAACTTCATTATAATGAATATTTCGCGAATCATTACTTGAGATACTCTGAGAACTCGTGAGAAGTTACTGTTATCTAATTTTATTTACATTTTATGGTTACATTAAGCAGATATTCCATTGCTCATAATAAGCGTTGATTTATATATTTATACATAAAAATAATTAATTTAATTAAATCTTATATGCAAGATGAATTTTTTCATTTTTAAATTGTACTCTTTTATAATTATTCAAAGTTTAAAGTCTTTTATGACTTTATCTATTTAACAACAGTTAAATAGATATAAAAGTTTATAAATAAAGATAATAGTTTATAAAAAAATTTATAAAAATTTAAGGATAACGAAATGGAATGTGCGGGATTTTGTAGACCTCACCTCATTAGTTAGATTAGTTAGAACTCTCATGAGAGAGTTAAATTAACAATAAAAGTATGCGCGCGAGAAATATAATTTTTATTAAAATTAAATCATTTTATTAAATCATATTATCAAAAAATTATATTACTGTGTTAATTACAACACATATAGACAAAATATAAGACGTTTATATCGATTGAAGAAGTGTAATGCCTAAAGCAACAGATTGATAATCTAAAGGTACCTCAGTGTCCAAGTTTGAATCCCACCAGTGCTAGTAAGAATTTTTAAATATAATGTAACAATGAAATCAAGTAATCTAAAATTTTTCAAGTAAAATTAACAAACTCAGTAACATTTACCCTTATAGAAATATCATACTAAGAATCGTTGATAATTACTTATTTTCAGTATTAAAAATACTGGATAATAAGTAATTATCAATGATTCTTAGTATGATATTTCTATAAGGGTACGGAAATATTCTCTTACAAATTCTTAAAGAATTACCATTCAAGAAAGAAGAATACGGGAATAGTTTAAGAATTTATTGTGCTATCTGAGTATGAAACAATAAAACTTGCTGTATTTTTGCTCACAATTTGCCATAAATTTTTATCATCAAGCCTTGCTCAATATTTGGCGTCAATTTGGCGTCAAACTGTGCCGCGCAAGTCTTGCTCAGAATTTGTCGTCAATTTGATGTCAAATCGCGCCGCGCAAGCTTTGCTCGGAATTTGGCAAACTGCCGCATAGGTCTTGTTCAGATTTTGGCGTCAAATTGGCATCAGGTTATGTACTCAAACTTTGACAGCAAATCATGAGCTTATACACGAGTGTACATGCACTCTGTTGCAAAGACGCGTCCGCTAGAAGGTTAAAAACTACTTTCCTTCATTTCATGTATACGTATTAATGGGATATAGAGTGGTTTCAGGCATCCAGTATATTAATAATACATAATATTAATAATACGTACCCAACAAAATTTTAAAGTTGTTTTTTAAGCACAATTTTTTTTTAAGCACAATTTTGGAAATTTCATTTAGTTTACTTATCAGTTTCTTTATCACTACACGACGAAATAAGTGGTATTCTCTAATATAAAATCTCTCTCCGTGTTTAGTAAAATTTATAAATTATAAAAATATTTGATTTCTATAAAATACTCTTATTTTTGTACAGTGGCAGAATTACAATAGGTAATTCGCTTTCTCTCTCTACATAGAATTACAATTTCGTTTTATTCTTTATAATTTTGTTTTTTATTCTTTATAATTTTGTTTTATTCTTTATAATTTTGTTTTTTATTTGAATCGTGAATATTTTTTTAATATCCTCCATGAGAATCATCAGTAGAAGTGTTTAAATATCTATAATACTAATATTGAACGCAATATTAGATTGATTAAATAATTGCGACACTATTAGTTGGAAAACACATGAAGTTTAAGAAAAGAATGCTTTTGAATCTGTTATAATAATAATTTTATTTTTTGTAATAATTTTATTTTTTATTACATGTCTGAAATTGCAAACCGCTGCTATTTTGTTGTTTATCTTTTAATACCTGCTAGTGTGCGTGTGTGTGTATTTATATAATTGTGTTCTAATCTAAGATAATTCATATAATCATGATTTGTAGTATTTTCTGCAATGGTTGAAAGGAAGTCACGTGCATAGGTTTGCTCGTGCGTGTTACAGTAAGAAAGTGTCAGCAGTACTGTCCGCAGCCGCACTTGCTGATGCTCCCATGGCACCATTGCGTTTCAGATTATGGCCACCGAAAATGATACTGCTACTGGCATCGGCATCAGCTTTTGCAGATGAATGTTCCAATCTCTTATGGAAACCCAAATTATGTCCCTTCTTAATGTCAAAAGCGGATGCACTACTTGTAGCTTCAGCAGTGACAATAGCACCTTTCCCGCCCGTAGAACGTGTGCCGGTAGTAATAACTTCACCATCTGCTTTGCCGAATTCGGCTCCAATCTCGAGTAACTCTTCTCTACGTATACTAGCCTTGGCCGCCTCTCGAGCGATGGCGTTTATATTAGCATCAGCAGCTCTAGATTTCGAGTCCAACTGAGCTTCTTCATTGGACATTGTCACTTTAGCATTAGATTGTATAAGATTTCTTTTGGTGGTGATAAGCCCGGCTATAGTCGCTTTGGCTATAGCGGCGGCATCTCTGGCCTCTGATTGTAGAGCAGCAGCATCAGACGCAGACTCAGTCGCTGCATTTTCAGCCGCCATAGCTTTCTGAGCAGCAATATTGGCCTCATTAGTAATATGAAGTGCTTTTTCCATTTGCATGGCAGCGTTGGCAGAACACGCACTTTGAATGCGTGCTAATTTAAAGGCCATCAATGCACTGGTAGCAGAAGTCTTAAAAGAGGCAGCGGCGCTTTCCACCGCTTGGAGAGCTTCTCCGGCTGACGTTTTAGACGCAGCAGCAGCTGCCTCAGCTTCTACGGCAGATGCACCCAAGGCAGCGCACGTTTCTTCAACTGAAATAGTTCTCGCTGCAGCAACCGACTGTGCCTCAGCACTACCCTGTACTAAGACTGCCGCATCATCGGCAAGAATGCGCGCCTCAGCGTTTTTATTGGCGGATTCAGTAAGCATCTGCAGCGCTTCCCGTTGTTCTTCAGCGGCCGTCTTACCAGCTCGCAGACCCGCTTTGGCTTCAACCGCAGCAGATGCTATCATTGTTGCAGCTGCTTTAGAAGCTCCCGCATGGCTAAGAATATTGTTGGTACCAGCCTTGGACGATACAGCCGTGTTGGCACCGATATGTGAACCGCCAATTTTCTTCCAGTTGCTAGTCAGTGTCTCGGCTGAGGCAGAAGCGGATGCTGATGTTTTGCCAATCATATATGGCCCAGAGGCGCTGGCAAAACCCCAGAGAAGGAGAGATGTCGCGATTATCGTTGGAATCTTCATCTTCAACAAGACTTCGCGGATTGATGCCAGATACTGTCGTGTCGGACATTTATATACTACTGCCGTGAGCAGCTGTCATAACAGCAACCAATACAATTGATATGCTATACGCAAATCTCATATCGTCTCCAAACTTGAAAATATTATTTCAGTATAAGCGAGATATTTCCATTACGGTAACCGTTGTTTATGTATAAGTGAACTTAAAAACTCATTTGAATATATAATATAAATAAACAGAAGTAGTAAAAATTCCTTTACTCTATTACCTTTAAGTTGAAAATATGATCACAAAATATTATTTTGCTATTGATACATTTTATTCGAGTTTATATGATTTATTTATAGAAAATATTTTGTTATTGAAAATATGTTTTCTTGTTGATACCTTTATAAGTTATAACATAAGCTCCTTTTAAGATTAAAGAAATTAAGTTACTTTACTCAACCTTCCCTCTCTCTCTTGTTCACGCTCTTTTATATATTACTACGTTCACATTTTTTACTATATAACTTTGAGTATACATTATGAGTGTAATTTTTCTTTGAAGTCTTCGTATTCAAAACTTCAGTACGAAATACCCGAAGATCAAAGTTTTGAAACTTCGAAGTTCAATCTTTGAATTTCGAAACTTCAAAGGCTTGAATTATTTCGGTAAATATATAGAAAACTCTAGTGCCAACTCCGATGGGCTTGACCTTGTCATATGTTATAGAGGTCACCCTGCTGAGTGACATTTTGAAGGTTTTAGCTGTCGTTCGTTGTTCATTAAAAAGTTATTAACAAAAGAAGTTGCATCAAATGAATGAAATTTTTGGACACCGTATATACAAAAACATCGAATTTTTAGGCTAGAAAGGTGTCTACCACTGACGTAAATAATATTCAAAAGGTTTTAACTGGCGTTCATTGTTTGTTAAAAGTTATTCACAAAAAAGATACATTAATATCAACAAAGAGTATATTAAGTGTAGTATGTAAACGGTGTCTGTCCCTAGCCGAGTAACTGGGGGGCTACGCCTCCCAGACCCCCCGCACCGCGACGGAGAGGGGGGGGGGTGACAAGCCTGTTGTACTTAAGCTAAAGAGTGAAAATTTCTCACAAAGGACTCTCCCCCCCCCTCCCCCGCCGCGATACTGGAGGTCTGGGGGGCGTAGCCCCCCTTATTTACACGGTTAGGAACAAGCACTTTCTTTATTTTTAATATTATTTTTATTTTTATTATTTTCTATTTATAAAACTTTAAATATAATAGGAACACACGCACACACCGCGAGCCCGGGCTGGCGGGCGAGCAGCGTGTGTGTACGTGCGTGTGTGTAGCAGGTATCTTGCTAGCTTACAAATTCGGTGTTTTTATATATACGTATGTCCAAAAATTACATTCATTTTATGCAACTTCTTTTGTTAATAACTTTTTAACGAACAATGAGCGACGGCTAAAACCTGCAGAAAGTCACTTAGGAGGGTGACCTCTATAACATATGTCCATAGGTACATTGTAACATAGGTCGAGTCCATCGGAGATGGCACTAGTTTTTTATATATTTACCATTATTTCTATCGAAAATCTTAGAACCCACATAGCAAAAATTGATCTTAGGTATGTCTAATAGATATATCACAAGGGATTTAGTGATATCCAGAACGTGTCCGTAAAAACCAAAATATGTACATAGGATGTACCGAGGACATCTATATGTCCGTTTTTTGAACGTCCATAAGAAGTAATAATTAAATATAGTAGGATGTGTATAGATAACAATATTTGATCTTAACAATATCCTGAAGATACTAAAGTCCTTGCATATCAAAATTAATTCTAGTCCAGGTAGCAGACAACCATGATAATAACGTGAATTTTACGCCGTTTATCCTTCAAGTTAATCAAATAATGACGTCTTTTTGACAGTCCTAAGTTACGCACCAGTGACGTCATTTTTTTATATAAAATGACGTAATAATGACATATGACACTGGTTAAAAATAATATATCTTGCAGAAACAATTGCAACTAGTAAGCTTCCCTTATAGAAATATCATATTGAAAATCATTGATTAATTTTATTTTCTGTATTAAAAGTATAGTGTTTAGTAATATTCTGTGAATTCAAATACAGCTCTTAGTACTCAAGTATTTCAATGTTTAGTGTTACAAATACTACCTTATAAGTGATTTCAATACTTAAACATTGACATACAATACTTCGTTCAGTGATACTTACGTATAGCATTGACAAAATTACTACTTACATAATTAAATACTTAACATTACATAATTAAATACTTACGTATAGCATTGACAAAATTTAAATACTAATATGTAATACTTTGCTAAGCGATGAAATATTTATGTAAAGTACTGTCAAAATTTAAAGTATTAACCCAGGCAGCACACAATATTAATTATAAATATTTAAAAATATTAATGATAAATGTTTATAAATATTTATTTCAAATTATTTTTTAAAATATTATATCAATATTTTATAAATATTTTTTTATATATACATAAAGAGAGAGAGGAAAAGGTATGAAAATATTTATTCAAGATATTATTAAAATATAAGCTAACCATCTGAATATTTTATACAATATTTTAAATATTATATAAATATTTTAAAATATTTTTTTATATATACATAAAGAGAGATAGAGGAAAAAGTATGAAAATCTTTATTCAAGACATTATTAAAATATGAGCTAAATATCTGAATATTTTATACAATATTTGATATATGTGAACAAAAAATTAATTTGTAATAATATTTTGTAAATATTTCTATAAATATTACGCATGAAAAAAATATAATTATTTATTAAATTAATGAAGAAATAAGAAAATCGAAATTTAAATTAGTAATGTACACTAAAAAAAA